CCTCAAGTCCAAAGCCTTCCAACCCCCTCACCTCAACCTCAAATGGATGATGCTGATAACCAATTCTGGCAGCTCTACTATGATTGGAGAGCATGGAAAGTTGGAAATTCAGCAGAGCAACTGATGGATTGGGACCAACAGCTGAAGAATGAGAAGATCATCAAGAAATGCTTAGGAATACCAGTCAACCATAGCTGTGAAGAAATCTTGGATGACTACTGGGTATGGCAAAGGAACCATGAAGACCTGCATCTGGAATACCTAGCCAACTCACCAATGTCAGAATTTGAAGTAGATGATGAAGATCCTTCAGTCTACAAACCAGTCTTCTCCAAAGCCACAGAAGAACAAGTGGTTCTCACTTCTGAAGCGCAAACTATTTTGGAAGCAACAGCTGAGGACTTCCAAACATTTCCGGAAGCCTCACCTGCCTTTGAAACGAAAACCTCACCTGCTCTCCAGCAAACCTCACATTCTTCTAAAATGGTTCTGACTGAAGCTGTCCAAGAGAAGGCAACCTCTCCCCCACAAGAACAGAACCAGAAAACAGCAGAAGAAGAAGAACTAATCCAATCTCAAGATTTGGAGATTCTCACAACTCCTTGTGAGATCTCCAATCCTACTGAAACTGAGATCCCGGAGAAGTTAGCAGAAATTCTGGAACAGTCAACTTTTCCAGAAACAAATGAAGAGGAGCAAGCTGTAGAAGTCCAAAGGAATTCTGGAGAAGCTGGAAAGGAGACTCAAATGGCAGAACCAGAGGTCTCTCAAACTCCAGTAGCCATTTTTGAAGAACAGAATGCAGCTGAAGAAAGAGACTCCCTCTCTAGGGATATATCAAATTTTGTGCTTAATGAAGCAGAAGGAGAGTCTGAAAGAACACTGAAGGTTACTGATGAAGAAGATGTACAAGAAGATGCTTAATCTCTTCCTATGCAACTCTTCCAAAGAACACCATCCTCTCATCAGGTAACCAATTTTCATTTCCATAGCTCTTCCACCCCTACCCTTCCGGATATTGTGCCGGAAATCTGGACAAAGAAGGTCCAAGGGCTGATTGAATCAGCCCTAGCATCTCAACATGCCTTTTTTAGGCAAGAGATAGAGCAAATGGAAGCCAAGTACACCAAGCTTATAGAGAAATCTGAAGAGAAGCACAACACTGATCTCAAAGAAATAAGCAAATCAGTGCACAAGACTCTGGAGATTATCTCTCTATTGAGTGAAACTGTGAGCAACACGATGGAAATATATGCCTCTGACAGTCAACTTCAACTCAAAGA